AAATACAACAAATTTGCCACAAGAGTGGGTGGGCCGAGGGTGGGTGGTCAGTGGTTGCTGGGCAATTGCCTTGTCCAGTTCCTGTGTCAAATGCATGTCACACACACAAATGGACACACACACGCCCAAAGTGTGAAATGAAAACACGGCAGCAACCGAAACGCGTTACAAAATGTTAATTTGCAGTGACATTGGCGGGGGGTGGTGGGTGCTGCTAAGGGGGGTGGCCTGTGGGTGGTGGGTGATGGGTAGTGGGGTTTGCGGCAGGTGCCTCACTTGACCGCAAGGCGGCAGCTTTGTGCTCTACAGGCATTAACAAACAGCAGCAGCAACAACAACATTTGCAATCAGTCGCCAACCGGCAGCAGCAACAACGAGAAGCTTGATGATGACGATGACGAGCAACCGCTAACACCAACCGAGCTGCAACCAAATGACCAATGAGCCAACCACTGCCCACACACACACACATGCAGGCAGCCACCCACACACACGCACAGACAGACAGAGACAGATAGACAGACAGACAGAGAGGGAGCGATATAGAGTCGACCATGTGTCAGGGCAAGCTTGTCGCTCGTTATACCCCTCGAAATAAAGGGAAAAAAGGGTTTGATCGACTGGAGAAAATCACAAAAATTCTCCTTTATTTTTAACTGAATTTCGGTTTTTTTTTTATTGTTTTAAAAAAACGGAAAGCTAAAGCACAGAAAAATATTGAATTTTTCTAATATTTAAAATAAAATAGTTAAGAAAAAGCATTGCATACTTCTAGGTGACTTAAAAAATGGTTAATGTCCTAAAGGAATTTTTCTTAAAAGAATGATAAATACCCTAAGACTCTTGTGAGTCCAGGGTATCAATGGTGTCGATCAAAACTCACAGCAATTGCCGCTGGATGCTGGATGTTGCTGTCGTTGGGTCAATGTTGATGCTGATAAGTAGCAAAACATGAGGTCGCCTGTAATTATGCGAGTGTTGCAAGTTAATTGCAATTGTGTGCAACTGACGGTAGCGAGATTAATTAAATTCATCCCATGCACGCCGTTCGCCATTCGCCATTCGCCGTACTCGCAATTGCAATTGCAGTTGCTGCCCCGCAGCAATATCGCCGCCCCGCAGCAACATCGCCGCCCCAGCGGCAACATCCTCCTGTTGGCTGCCATCACTCAATGCCAGGACAAGGCAATGGGGACAGTCAATCTGTTTATTTGCTTATCCCACCCATTTTAACCCACTGATGCCCCTCAGCACCTCTTAACACCCCCAAATGCGCACACAGGAATGGCATTGTTTAAAGTTTACTAATTTCATGCATATTGCCGGTCGGTCGGTCGGGCGCATTTGTGTTAGTTAAGTGATTTATTGTCGCAAAATTGTCATTATTAAAAATTAATGATGTCATAATTAAGTGTGTTGCTGCTGCTGTTGCTGTTGTGCCGTGCGTTTTATTGTGAAATGATTTACATGGCGGAACATTAGCTGCTCCGGACATTTTAGCAGCGCAAATTTATGAACTGCAAACAACAAATATGCTCGATTCAATTTAATTTCCATAATTTAATTAGTCTTGTGTGGACAGCAGCGATAGCCCCAAAGGGGGTTGATTTGCCCGCATGGGTGTGTTATTCAAGGGGGCGTTATAAAGGGAAGGGGGTTGCAATTTGCATAACCAGTCGGCAGGTAACCTTGCTCATCTGCCGGCTGTTCCGGTTCGATTCGGGTTTTCGAAAACAAGAACGAGATATGATAATAACAATGCCTCGAGGAAGTCGGTGGATCTCAGACCCTCTGGCTATCCCACTATTCTCCTGGAAATAAGTTGCATCACAAGCTCACTTTCGCTGACACTGCAGTTTTGCAAGCGTTTGATGGGCTGCTCATAAAAATATTGCAACATTTTACACACTTCTTTTTGTGCTTTTTGTGGGGCAATAGAAAAAAAACGTTCAATTGGAAAAGGGTAAAAATGCAGATTCATCAAAATCTATACACCTTTTTTTTTAAAGAAAAAAAGGCAATTTAAAAAAATGTTACGAAATGAATAGAAACAAAATACATAAGATAAATTAGTAATTTTTTTTCTTACATAAAATTATATTTTAAATATGCACGAATTAACTAAATATTTATTACACTTTACAGAACAACCCACAGTCGACTCTTCTGGTCCACAGAAATATATGAATGGCTGGGAATTTGTCACTTTGTCAAATTACAATATTTGCAGGGCTGTTCCGAATGGGTTTCGCCCTGTCATGATCGATGTTGTCTTTTATCTGGGAGCCTGGGAATGTCCACCCACAGCTTCAATGTATTAAAAATAATCACCGAAATGGCCAATAGCCAAAATGGCCAACTGCAATCGCAAAAAGTACTCATATATATGTATAAATCTTCCCGCCGCAACTTTTATGGCGTCGATAAAATGGTTTTCCCCTTTGAATGGCAAGAAATATACCCTGTTAGCCCCCTTTTAAATACGAAAAATAAATCCATAAAAAAGGCTTAACCTTAAAATAAGTTAATTTGAAGCTACTTCAGTAGTTACCTGCACTTTTGCGAGTCTGCGGTTCCCTCGGCCCGACAATATATACATATGTGTCGGGTTAGCCCCGTCCGGTCAGTTGCCGTGGTCAGCCATGCTGAGCCATGCTGTGCCACGCCCCCTGCTGTGCCGCCCCTCCGCCCACTTGTGCAGCAGCAGGCAACATAACTTCGTGCAGAACTCACCGCAAATCAGTTTGGCCAGAGTTGGCTCGTCGGGGTCACCCAAACCATTTGATTGATTGAAAGTCAGCCAAAGTTGGAATTGAGTTTGCTGCAAATAAACTGATGGACCGCTCTATTCCCTAGCCGGGCTAATTGGGTCAACAGTCTAGCTTTGAGATACCCTGTAAATGAGGAAGAATCAAGGGGATTTATGGGCTAACCTAAGAACATCTTTAAAAATTAAATATAAAATAATTTTTAAATTGATGATAAAACCCAAAAATAAATAATGAACGATTTTAATAACACCAAAACATCGCAAAATTAACAGGGAATCTGCCTTTTTAGCTTAGATTGTAAAGTTAATTTTACTTAAATATTTTTTAAAAGTTGTTATGGTCCTTAAAAATTAAAATGTATCACTAAAAATCAAGAGTAGAAGATCTACTACTTAAAATAATTTTTTAATTGTTTATAAAATTCAAAATTAAATTGCAAAAGATTTTAGTAACCCATAAATTACAGGGTATCAGGGTGGCTGGCGGCAGCAGCTGCCGCTTGATTCGCTCAAATAAATTACACTTGCCATGTATTAATTTAAGTCATAATTTCCCATTGGCAAATCCCTCGATGCACAACTGAAAAACAAAGCAAAAACAAAACAAAAAAACAATGCAAACTGAAAAGCAACTAAATGAAACAAAGAGCTCGCAAAAGTTTCTGTCGAACAACTGCAAAAATGTCAACTTGTGCAGAAATAATGCAAATGTTTATACAAATTATTATGTGATTTTGCAGGAGCCGAAAAGGGAAGAGGGTACGAAAAAAAGTTATTTGGCCAGCTTTCGACCATGTCCCTGGCCAACGTATACGCGGCGTATACGTAATCATTTTCCTTTCGGCCATTAAAAAGTTGATTTTTATGCTGGCCAAAAGCCCAACCGAAGCGAAGCGAGAGACAGCCAGCACTTTCGTATTTAAACGTGATTTTAAATAACCGCAACAGATTTTGTGGTTTCATGTTGCATTTGCCGTTCGATAAGCGACAGCCCGACATTCCCGGGTGTATCAGGGTGGTTTAGGGTGGCCCAGGGTGGCCCGGGGTGGTTGCCGAATGCCGGGTGAGTTGGTTTGATAAGGTCCCCGGTTACACAAACCGGTGGGGAACTGGCGCAACACTGGCTGCTGCTGTGGTCAAGTGCATTTAAAATGCAAAATGCACGCATTTGCGGCGACACTGCAACGTTGGTTGGGTGAGGAATGGGTCGCATCGGGATTACGTATTAAAAATGCCCAAAATTCATAATTTTAAAATTGCAATTAAATGTGCAAGCATTTTAAGCCCTCGCTGGCCCTGCAAAAAGGGTAAATAAATTGGTAGTTCGTCACGCTTTGGCTGATCAAATTTCAAAACAAATATGTTTGTTTGCTAACAGAGACTGCAAATTCACAGCTAAATGATAATTTAATGTAGAAAAAATAGTAAAGCCTGTGGAAAACATTTTAGACCTAGCAAAACATGTGCTTTAAATATATAAAAAAAATAAAAATACAAAAAAAGATATAAGATATAAAAAAAGATAAAATAAATATAAAATATAAAAAAAGATATAAAATGGCGGTGATAAATATTTATGGTATTTTTTTCCCCATCGATGTGCTCATAGAGATTAGCACTTGATTATTGTTAATGTTATTACCTAATGCCCACGGACACACGCACACACACAAACACAGAGGCCGCTCTATACACATTTAGGGGGCACATAAACAAACGCCAGTTTTTTTTATATATCCACCGACAGTGAATTTGCATTTGAAGTCTGTTCGTTTGGGTGGGTTTTGCATAATCATAATGCCTGCCATAACACTTTGCCGGCTATCGATACTCCTATTCTGTATTCTGTACTCTGCATTCTGTATATTATTTTGATCTTTTCACGTTTTTCGTTTCAGGCCTAACATAAAATATACAATAGTATTTTTTCGTTTTTGTGTGGATTACGTTAATGGTTATGTCGGTAATTATGATTACTAGTCATCGCTATTTTTTTTCGTTTTATTTTGTTTTCTCTTTATATTTATCGTTATTGTACTTACGCTACGCACACACCAAAAAAAAAATATTTATCCTCTGACTGCGATTGATTTTTTGTTTGGGGGAGACAAAAAAATGCACATTTAATGCTAATTATCGTAATCGTAATCGCTATCCATATTATTCCTTTGTTTAATCTCTGCCTATTTTATATATATCTATATATATATATATATATATATTTGTGTGTGTGTGGGTTTGTGTGTATTTCCAATCGCCATTTTGCTGCACTGATTTCCTTGTGATCCTTTTCTTTCAATCCTTCCCTTTTCTTTTCCCTCGGCATCGCCTTGTTTATATGTATGTTTAGTGGAAGCTCCTGTTGCACGCCGCTCGCTACTTACGTCATACGCTTACGCTTACGATACGTTACGTTACGTTACGCCATCACGCCGCCGACTTTTAGTTCTGTTTCCAACTGGTCGCTGTGAAAATATACAAAATAACACAAAAAATTAATAATATTGCCATAAAAATGTGTAAAAAAATTACAACGAAATTTTAGATTTAATTGCAAAGCTGTTGGAGAGTCAAAATGCAAATTATAGCACAAAAGAAAATGTTTAGAAATAGTTTCGATTTTCAAAAAGGTTTAGCCTTGTAATTATATTTTGTAAATTTGTAGTTTTACTAGTTTTTATGTAATAAAATAGAAATAATTACTACCAAGTAATTTGACTAGTTTTAAATCGATTAATTAGCTTTAATTGTTAGAAATAAAGAGCAAATGTATTTAGTTTTATATAGTTTATTTACCTTTGTAGTAGACCTCGCGGTACATGGTGGGGCAGGCGGCCTTGCCGTTCGTCTTCGTCGTCTTGAAGTCAATGTTGGTGCGAATGGGCCGGTGCAGCAGCGGCTGGGGCGGCCTGTAATTGTTGCCCAGGGGCGCTTTCGGGTGGTCGGGGCTGCCCTGCATCAGGCGGCGCAGGGCGTGCAACTGGAAGTAAAATAATAATGACATTTATAATAATTATTAAATAATACATTTAATTTTTTAAATCGTATAATAGAATTTCTTTTATTATTCTGAGTATTATAGGCCTATTGAAAATGTGTCCAAAGTAATTCTTTTGTGGGCTACAGTGCGTATGTGTAATTTAATTTATGAAAATGAAGTTATATTAACTATAGCTAAATAACACTTAATTTTTAAAATGGTACAAAATGACTTTAAAATAAATAATCAGTTTTTCCAAAAATAAAATAAGGTATTACTCATACGGCACGTAAGAAACGTGGGTGGGCAACGGTGCGTATGAGCAATAGGCTTTTAAAGTTTTAAAAATCTTAGGATACAATTTTAATCTCTTTGCTAATAATATCCTTTTGCCTTTCCCTTAAGGTAATCATAATTTCTCTAGTGCCTTCCCTCATAAATCGAGACACGGAAGTAGATCAACAATGGCTCGACAATAAGCCAATCCGCCCATCCGATGAAGATAAGCCGTAGAGCCCATCCATCCATCCATCCGTTCGATTTTGGCCCGCCTGTCGAGCGTTTAACGTGCATAATTATAAACTTTTGCGCAAACACACACAGCATCATCATCGATCCGCAGCACTTGGCAAAAAATCAAGCTTGACACAAATTGCTAATCCTAAAAATAAGCGCTCGCTGAACAAAAAACTTAAAAAAGAGGAAGAAGAAATGAAAACACTTTGGCTACCCATACATACGAACACTCACGCACACACACATAGAGAGAAGGGAAAGCATCGATGAGACGACAGGAGCAGCAGCAGCAACAACAACGAGTCAATAACACTTAATCTACTCAATCTGTTTATCAATTGACTTCCGTCAAAATCGCTTTTCACGACAACGTGGCCGATGGTTGATGTTGATTGAGGAGAGCGGGGGCTTCAGTGGGTTAAGGGTTCGATTCCGTTCGCTTCGGTTTTCGCAGGAGGCGGGGGAGTGCCCGTTCAAGTGTGAATTAAGTTGGCTGTACGTATATGAATTTCTGTGTGTGTGTGCGGATGTGGATGTCCCGAAAGTATGCAACACTAAATGGCACTCAAGGATTAAAGCCTGTTTATGGCTGAATTGTGGTTTTAAAATGAAGAGATTTTGCAATAATCATGCAATTTAAGCTGAAAGCCTAAGATATTCAAAGTTTGAACTTAAAAAGGAATTTTAGAAGATTTTAAACTAAAATAAATCTGTAGGTTTTAAATTTTTTAAAATACGCCTAAAAGTATGATGTAAAAATGCTACAAGATCTTAAAACTCAAAATATACAAGAATACCTATTAAAAGATTTTAAAACAAAATATTTCTGTAGGTTTTAAATCATTTTAAAAAAATGTAAAAAATTTGATTTCAAAATATATCATAGCCCACATTTAGACAGTTGCATAAACGATTTTAAACCTCTCTTTTAATTACAGAACTCAGTGTTAATCACCAACTCAGTTTAAGAACCGGTGTGAAAACCCTTAACCCTTTGGACGCTATCATCTTGCCGGTTTTCCGGCTGCGACAGAGCGCACGTTAATGGGTTAATTGCAATTTCAGCTCATGTCGCGCAGCTTCCTGTGCTTTCACTTCCTTCCCTTTGGCTCACTGGTGTTACTTTAATTTGGTAAATTATGTTTTGCCAGCAAGGTGCTGTCGCCGTCTGCCGTCTCTTTCTGCCACTCCTTTGCCGTCTCTTTCTCTTTCGCCTGCCATGTGAGTGTGCAATGCAGCCAGTAAATTACGTTGCCGGAGAATCGTGGACCAGAGAGTCCTCCGTGGCTGCCACAAGTTGTAATCATGTGCCCATGGGTGCCATTGAGCTTGTTGAAGTTTTTATGAGTCTGCCTGCTGCAGTCGCGTGTGTGCTGGTGTCCCTTTTCCGCTTTTCCTCTTTTCCTCCGCCCTGTTTACATTGTTTACACGTATGCCGCTGCTGGCCACCATTCAACCGCTCGAGAAAACCACCCACTCACAACCCACCACCCACTGGCGTCTTTATTACAGCGCTGCACTTAATAAACATTTGTGTTAAATTTTTTTCCCCTCTTTTTTTGCCCGCTGCTGAATGTGTGCTCCTCGCTCCTCGCTTTTCGCTTTCCGCCGCTCGCCATTCCTTTGAGTTATGGACACTATCCACTTTGTTGCTCCTCCAGCAGCGGCAGCAACTCAATTTAAAACTTAAATGAAATTAGCTAATAAAACAGAAGGAGCCGGGGAGCAGCGGACATCGGAGCACTGTATACTAATTAACAAACATTAAGGTGCTCATCACTCAAAATGCTTTCTTTTTTCTTAGCGACTTGATGAATTTGGTTGGGAAAAAAAATTTCGTTGACTTTTTTACTTTGTGCTGGGAGAAAAGTCAACGATTAAATCGATTTAATATTTAAACTTATTTTATTTTAAATGGCCCACAAGATAAGGGTTAAATTTATAATCTAGCACTAACTTGCTAAATTTTTATAAAAATATTATAAAAAATATAACTTTTTAGTGAAATCTACCTAATTTAATACATGGGTTTATGAAGTTATTTTTGGTATACATTTTAAATACCTGTTGCTTTGTTATGTAAATGGGCTTGTTGAGCACCACCCAAGTGACTGTTTCGTGGCAGGCTGGTGCCGTTGTTGATCCATCGTAGGTCATATAGTGATCCGTTTCCGGCAGCAATCCGCGAATCGAGAGTCGCTTCACAAACGCCTCATCGCCGCCATAGCGAATGCGCTCCAGCTGATCAGTAAGCATGCGCAGCTCCGCATTCGAGAGGTCTCCAAGCTACAGAGTACAAGAAAATAATAATAATACATTTTTGTAAAACATCTGGGTTTTTGGTAAAAAAAAGGAATGTTTTCAATTTTATTATAAGGTTATATCATGATTTTTTACAAAAAATGGCAAAAATAAAATGTCCAGGTTTAAATGTCAATCGATAGGAAATTTAATAACGAGTTCAGAAAGGTATGACAATCCATATTTGGATCAATATTTCTTGAAAAATTGGAATCTGGGTTTTTGGTAAAAATATGAATTTTTTTCTGTTTGTTTTTTTGCTATAACTTGGCTAAAAATGGTCCTACACCAAAAATGAAGAACAGATAACTAAATAATAAAAAAATCCATAACACTTCCCGGGTAATCCTGCAAAAATAAAATTTTCGCCAATTTTCAATTTTTTTGTAAGGGGGTACCTCATGGTTTTTTACGAAAAATGGCAAAAAAATAAAATGTCCAGGTTTAAATGTCAATCGATAGGAAATTTAATAACGAGTTCGGAAAGGTATGACAATCCATATTTGGATCAATATTTCCTTTGTTACGGCCAAAAAACCAATTATTTTTTTGTTAAAAATTGGTATGTGGGTTTTTGGTAAAAATTTGAATTTTTTTGTGTTGGTTTTTTTGCTATAACTTTGCCAAAAATGGTCCTACACCAAAAATGAATACTGTTTTGAACAGATAACTAAATAATACAAAAATCCATAACACTTTCCGGGTGATCCTGCAAAAATAAAATTTTCGCCAATTTTCAATTTTTTTGTAAGGGGGTACCTCATGGTTTTTTACGAAAAATGGCAAAAAAATAAAATGTCCAGGTTTAAATGTCAATCGATAGGAAATTTAATAACGAGTTCGGAAAGGTATGACAATCCATATTTGGATCAATATTTCCTTTGTTACGGCCAAAAAACCAATTATTTTTTTGTTAAAAATTGGTATGTGGGTTTTTGGTAAAAATTTGAATTTTTTTGTGTTGGTTTTTTTGCTATAACTTTGCCAAAAATGGTCCTACACCAAAAATGAATACTGTTTTGAACAGATAACTAAATAATAAAAAAATCCATAACACTTCCCGGGTAATCCTGCAAAAATAAAATTTTCGTTAATTTTCAATTTTTTTGTAAGGGAGGACCTCATGATTTTTTTCGAAAAATGGCAAAAAAAATAAAATGTCCAGGTTTAAATGTCAACCGATAGGAAATTTAATAAAGAGTTCGGAAAGGTATGACAATCCATATTTGGATCAATATTTCCTTTGTTACGGCCAAAAAACCAATTATTTTTTTGTTAAAAATTAGAATGTGGGTTTTTGGTAAAAATTTGAATTTTTTTGTGTTGGTTTTTTTGCTATAACTTTGCCAAAAATGGTCCTACACCAAAAATGAATACTGTTTTGAACAGATAACTAAATAATACAAAAATCCATAATACTTCCCGGGTGATCCTGCAAAAATAAAATTTTCGAAAATTTTCAATTTTTTTGTAAGGGGGTACCTCATGATTTTTTACGAAAAATGGCAAAAAAATAAAATGTCAAGGTTTAAATGTCAATCGATAGGAAATTTAATAACGAGTTCGGAAAGGTATGACAATCCATATTTGGATCAATATTTCCTTTGTTACGGCCAAAAAACCAATTATTTTTTTGTTAAAAATTGGAATGTGGGTTTTTGGTAAAAATTTGAATTTTTTTGTGTTGGTTTTTTTGCTATAACTTGGCCAAAAATGGTCCTACACCAAAAATGAATACTGTTTTGAACAGATAACTAAATAATACAAAAATCCATAATATTTCCCGGGTGATCCTGCAAAAATAAAATTTTCGAAAATTTTCAATTTTTTTGTAAGGGGGTACCTCATGATTTTTTACGAAAAATGGCATAAAAATAAAATGTCCAGGTTTAAGTGCCAATCGATAGTAAATTTAATAACGAGTTCAGAAAGGTATGACAATCCATATTTGGATAATTATTTCATATTTTATCGCTCATAATTTTTGGGCACCCCGGGGGATTACTTACCTGCAGCAGAATGGAGACGCCCACAATGCCCTGGGCGCGATTGAGGGCATCTGAGAAATTTGCATACAGCTGGGAATTGTAGCCGAATATTTGTATCTGGGAAGAAAACAAAGGGGAAATAAAGAGTCAGCAGGAGAAGAATATATATACAGAGAAGGAGAAAAGAGAGAGAGAGAGTCAGAGTGAGATATATGGTTAAGGGCTAGAGAATTCTTTCTTTTTTTTGGTGTCTGTGTGTGTCCTGCCTCCATTCTTTATTTCTTGTGTGTTGTGTGGCCAAAACTTTATTGTTGCTCAATTTAAGCCCAAATGCATACAGAGGAGGCGGTGACAACCGACACACAACTGGGGGGCGTGGCTGGGGTCAACGAAAGCTTTCGCCTTGTTTCGCATAAATTGCCCCGAAATAATCCCAACTATCAACAAAATGCACACAAATACAAATACAAACACAAACATTAGAGCACGTGGGCAAAAGCCCACACAAACACACACACATTTGTAGAGAAGATCAAGCAACAGAATCAGCAAATATTTTGCTTTTAGCCAAGACACCAAAAGGGCCAAGATTTTTCCTACCCATCGCCACCCCCAAAAACACAGACACGTGTGCATTTGCACTTTTGTTTCATGTCGGCAACGAAACGCCTACAGATGAAGAAGAACAGAGAAATCGGGAAGAAAGGACAAAGGACAAAGGAGAAAGGAGAGGCGAGTCCACAAAATGAATCCTAAAGCAGATGCTTAAAGCGAGGGTTGCACAACGGACTTATCGGTTATCGAGAGTGCTTGAAAGACAATCGTCGATTGTTGTTATGATCAATCCTTTCCTTATAACTAGCTTTCTTCCAATAACTATCTGGATTTTCTAAGTTTCTCCTTACTCAAAGGTTTTTAAAATATATATTTATGCATTATTTTATTTTTGATTTAATATTCCATCAATATAATGTGTATACTTCAGTATATTAGTCTTTTAAAGTAGCAGAAATATTTTTTGTTTTGTTTTGTAATAGATTAAATATTAAATATTATCTAGCATGGTATATTATTATTTTTGTTTAATTTTTTAGCAAATCCCCTGCAATCCTTCGTAGTGAAGATTCCTTTGAGTTTACTTTTCGGGCATCCCCTGCGATTGTTTGTGAGCTTGTGTAACATGTGTACATGGATTTTCGGGGGGATTTGGGTGTTGGAATATGTTTGTTTCCCCGACCTGAGTGTGTAGGTGTGTGTGCATTCGCTGGTTGACCAGACCAGACGCACCGAGCGGAAGGAAATGCTGCAGACAATAGTGAAAATAATAATAATAATAGCAGAGGGCCCACACTGATGGCCAGTGGGCATGGCCGTAGGCGCTGGGCAGTTAATAGTAGTAGCCCCGGAATCCCCCCTTACTTGCCACATGTCCTGGCCCGACTTTTAACTCTTCTTTTTCCCTGGGAAACTGGAAACTGGGGGATTGCACATACATACCAAAAGGAGAATGGCTGAAAAGAGCAAGGAAATGCGAGGAAATGCAGGGCGGCAGGCGGTGAGGCGGCGAGGCTTGCATTTAAATATTAAAAAACTACATGCTGCAATTTTAATGTGTGCCCAGCAAGGCAAATAAAAATTAAATTAAATTAAAATTTTCCCAAAAGTTACTCTTTTTCCTTTTTCCCCGAGTGTTTGGCGAAGTTGCAATTGCCGGGGCAGCGGAAAAAAGGGGTGGCAAAAATGGCAACTAATGCAAATAGAACAGAAGTTTCTATCAGAAATGAAGAGCTCGGTGGGTACAGTGCATTTCGCAAGTATACGTCTAACTTAAATAAAATAAAAGAAAAACACGGTCTTCAAGGGTATGGAATCATTTATAAAGGTGCCTAAAAATACGTTTTCATTTTATTATTTTTTAAATTTTATTTATTAAAAAATACATTTTTAATTAAGAAATATTTAAACACACGAAACGCACTGTCCCTGCATATATGTACAATGTACATATACTTAAGTATGTTTGAGAATGCAGATGCAAATGAAATTTTGACGAGACCATGGGCAAACTGAAGATGAAAACCCCACCCCTAGTTTTCTCCTTAAAAACTGGCCACAGTCCGAGCACCAAGCTATGTTCATTCACACAAAAACGCTTCCTGCTCAGACATCCAAAAATAGGAGCAGATTTTGGGGCGTTAACTGCATGAGAAAACTGAACAACCGAACAACTAAACAACCAAGCAGCTTTGCCACTTGAACAACAGATGCTGCACTTTTTGTTGTTAATTAAAAATTTAAAAGAAAAAACTAGTTTCGGAACTATAAAAGTTTAAGTAGACGATTTAAGTGGAGCCACCTTTGAATAAGCAATTTAATAATATATTTTTGACAAAAATAAACACTGAAAAGTAGGCATTTATTGCTGAATACTTTTAGACACCTTTAGAAGTGAATTAAAAATATACAAATCCCGCGAAATAAGAGACTATTTTTGAAAATTAAACCCTTACCGAAAAGTTTTTAATCCAATGCTCTTTAAATCAAATTAAATCAAATCCCCTTCCTTTAGTCAATAAATCGGAGTTCGCAACACATAAACCAGCTCAATTCCTTATGCCTTCACACCTTGGGCCTAAATATCTATGAAATTGAATCATAAAGGCAATGAACTCCCCACCTCCATTTTCTTTTTGTGTAACGAGCAACAACAATGGAAGTGGGAGGAAAATTATACAATATTTGACCGCAAACTAAAATGTTATATTTCCGTTTCATTAAACAGCCAAAGCCTGTGGCAAAGCAAATAAATACAAGCCGTGTGTCTGGGGTAGCAACAACAACGACAACAGTGTGGGGATAAAGACAAGAACAACAACAAGAACAAGAACAACAAGGGCAAATAGTGTAAGTACCAGCAAATAGCCGGACAACAAGCCGGCCAAAACGCAAAGAGCCAAAAGCCTAAGCGGTGTTAGGGGATGCCCCCATCCCCCTTTCCCTCTAGTGTTTGTTTGAACAAAGCCAGAGGAGCTGGCATATTTCTTGGCCAACACACACAAGCGCACACATACAGATACAGAGGAAAAGCTGGCCAACACACACAGACACAGAAACAGACACAGATAGACACACGCAGAGGCAAAGGCAACTTAATCAGATCAATTACACATGTTTTCACTGCATGGATTCCACAGACCGGAGAGCCCAGAGCCCCAGACTCAGGCCTAGTCTGTAGTCCTCGGTAGTCCCGTAACACCACCACCCATAGATTCCCCCCTCCTTAACCCCTCCGCAGGAGCAGGAGTCAAAGCGACCAGCGCGACGCCAGCTGCTGAAAGTTTGCCTGGCCAGCACAGTGGGTCCTCTTCTACCTCGAAAACCCCTCTACGCCGTCAATAAGCTGGCCCGCACTGTGGGACAAATAACAGAAAATAGGGTTAATAAAAAGAGTAATAGAAAATTAAGAAAGCTAAACCAAAGTGGCATTTTATAAGTATGTAAATTAAATAAATAAAAATAGGAGGAAAAAGCTTTTTTTCTTTTTTTTTTAAATGATTTTTTTTTACCAAACAATTAAATAAAAAAAAAAGTGAAACTATGTAATAAAAAAGAAATCTAAACCAGTTACTAAAATCTTCCTTACTAATAACTTAGTCAAAATTAACCTCTTTCAATTTCCACAATAAATAACATAGTTATTTTCCTCGCTATAAATTATTTCTAATTATAGAAACAATGAAATCAGTTTTAAATCAATTATCAAAGCAATAAACCAAAGCAGATAACCATTTTCATTGCTCATTTCTAGGCCACAGATAAGTGGCAAATAATTTGTGGCTTGTGCTCAAACATTACGATTTCTGTGATTTGTAATAATGGCAGATAAGCATTTTCGAAAATTTTCCTTCATTAGTAGTATTTAATTTATGGCAACTGATAAAAAGCAATTGCTGAGATCTGAAATTAATCAGTAAGTGATTTTGATATGGATATTTTTAATAATTATATTTTTGAGCTTTGCATTTTAAATTTTAGTACTAATATTTTTTTTATGATGAAATATATTTAGGGAAATTGATAACTTAGAATTGCTGTGAATATAATGTATTTTAATCATAATAATTTGTTATATTTTGTATATTTATATTTTTTATGTTTTTTTCCATAGACTCTTTTGAAATCACCCACTGTGCAGAAATATTTTTCGTAGCAGAGGTAACAGTGGGCTTATTGGTTTGGCTGGGGGTTGTTGATGAAGGTGGAGGCTAGCTGGCGAGGGGACTAAGGACGAAGGAGCAGCATTCTTGGCCCTTCAGCCGCTTGACTTGGCTTTCGTGCTGCACTGACCGGGCACGATAATATTGGCCATGGCCAGCAGGAGCAGAAACAGGAGGAGAAACAGGAGCAGGATAGGAGTATCGGTGGCAGGAGGAGCTTGGTGGCTTAGGCCGAGAACATGGCCTCATGTCAACACTTTGCCGCCCTTGTCTGGCCTGCCCCCCTCCTCCTCCCTTCTGGCCTGTGTCAGTTTTCTAGACAAATGAAGCAAATTAGCTTAACAACGCACTGGGGACATTGTCAAACACGCACACACACATAGAAAGCTGGGGAAAAACAAGAGGAAGGAGCCGATTTACCGGACCTAGATCGCTCCATTTCTGGCCGCAGTTTGTCATGGTTGTCTGGTTGTCGGGTTGTCCCCCCTCCTTTCTCCTGAAGCACTTTCCCGATGCACTTGTAGCACTTTCGGCTAATTATGCCCGGCACCAGAAAGCAAAAGATAAAGGAGAGCGACTGAAAAACACAGCAGGGAAATGCGCAGGAAAATGCGATTTGCTGGCGTTTTGAAAACGCGACCATTTGGAAACGCTGAGTGGGCAAAGGTGGTGGCTCCCTCTTTGGGATAACAAAGGAACTCGGGGTGACTGGCTAACAATAACAAAAATCACCAGGTGTCTAAAAGTATGCAATGAAAGTGTTTTTTTCACTGCATACTCTAAGACACCTTTGTGAAGTTTTTAAAATATTTTATATAAACTTTCTTTTTAATATTTAAGTATTTTTAATATTTAAAAACATTTTAATTCCAATTATAGCCGCTTACATTTTAAAACCCAACCGCCTTATTAGTGCCACGCAGACGTTTAAGCCACTTGCACAATTCTCTTGGCCAGACGCTTTAAACGCCGTCTTGCCAGCAAGCACCTTGCACCCATAGAGCAACCTAACTTGCCTGGCATCATAATCCAATCAAGAACTTCACCGAACTCATTACCCGCCCGCTGAAAATCCACTCAGCCCCCCATTAACGACTTAGTAGCGTTTTAAAAGGTGGAAAAAACGTGCTTTAATCGCTGCCTCTGCTGCTGGTTATCCTTTAAACGGATTTTCCGAAAGGGGTTGTGCACGAGGGGACACTTTCCGGTGGGGGAAACGAAAGGGGGCTGCTAAAATTACAGCACGACCTCATTAGCAGCAAATATTTTGGCGTTCGTTCGTGCTCAGTCACTCAGGCACACAGATAGAGATACAGATACATTTGTATATTTAAGTACTTCATGGTTAGCGCGTAAATTAATGGTTAAGCCATCGTTGGTTGTTGGTCGTTTCGGGTTGTGTTGTTGCCCGTGGTTGCCAACCGCAAAAGGGGGGTTTGAATCTGACCATAACGAAGGGGGTCAAGTGGGTTGGAGGGGTGGGGGGGTTTAACCCGGTCCATTAGATCACCGCCTACCGTTGGGCACGTGACTACCGGATGGCAGTTCATCCGTTCATCCGCAAAGTGCGGTGAAAATCGCCACCCCCTATCACCTACGCCCTTGGCGATCGCCCCCCCCTTCCCACTACTAAAACCGAACCCCTGGTGATTAAATTTTAGCCACAAGACAAGTGCTAAATTACCGCGGCCCAAAACAAATCAAAATCAGGCAACTGTGCATTGCAAATAGAAATAACGCATAGCTGGTGGGGGTGAAACAACCCCCCCTCACAGGTGTTTGTGCGCGCCACTGGCATCCAATGACAACAGGCTACCGAAATCCAAGACACGGCTGCAATCTTGTGCGGATTTCATGGGGATTAATTAAAATTGCCAATTACGAATTCATTAAGGCAGATCAAATTCCGAGGCGGGGCCCATTAAGGCGGCTTTCGTTACGGCCGGAAAATGCCTTACATTGGCCGGAGACAGGCGGCTTCCGGGAAAATGGGTAACTGGAAACTGGCGGCTGGAAATGGAGACGGGATTGCCCCGGCGGTTCTGGCCATATTTTGCCGATGACTTAATTGGGCCATTTTGGAAAATGGTTTTTTTACTCAAAATGTTACAGAATATTTTAAATATTTTTAGTAATAAATAATTTTCGTTTAAAAATCTAAGAAACAGTTTTTGTACTTTTTTGTCTTTTATAAAATACTCATAGAACTTAAAGATAATTTCATTAAAAATATTTAATATCTATAGTAAAAAATAATCAAAAATTATAAAATATTTGTAAAATATAAATATGCTCCCTTTTTTTCTATTGCATTTTTTTAAACATCTTTTAAAGCTGTCTTAATGCTTTTCATTTACGTCTGAAATGCTTTTCATTCTCACAATTTTCCAGACTTATTAAATATGATTTTCCACTGAAGTCAGAAATCAGCATTGATGGATTACTTTTAGATTTTCGTTTTTGCCAGATCTGCTGGACAGTTTAAAAATAGTTTTCAAGTGGCTGCCAGACGCACACTCAATCTTAATCTCAGATTCAGATTCAGATACAGATACAGAATCGGTCTCCCATTTCAGTTTGGCAATTGTTTGTCACTTTGGGCTTAAACCGAGAAGCCAGACGAGCGGCAGAATGCGTTTTAATCACCCGATTGTTGGCACAGGCGAAATAAATCGGGGAATTGTCGGGTTGTTCTCGAGGCCCCCGAGGCGGGGAAATTGGTGTCTGTGATTCCGAGTCGAAGTCGAAGTAATTTAACCCAAAATACACGGCACACTTTGTCATTCGCGAATGAGAACAGAGCTTCATCCCTGGGCGGGTTTCTAATTAATTTGCGTTGACATTCGGGGGTTAAGACGGCAGGCAGGGGCAGTCGGGGGTTAAAGGTTGCGGGCCAACTGCTGACATGCAACAGATTTATAACGTTATTTGTTTGTCGTCTGCAGTCGGCAGTCTGCAGTTTGTTGTGGCAGCTGCGGCTCACTTTTTGATTGCCTGGCAGCAAAGAGGAAAAAGGAAAAGGGAAAAAGGAAAGGGGAGAGGAAAATCAGTGAAGGAAAGGCAGACAAAAGCGCCGCACGAGCAAAGCGACAAATGGAAATGGAAATGCGACTGAGTAGGAAAATGAAAATGAAAACTGTGTCGCACATCACTCAGGGAAACTCAACTCAACCCGTCGCAACCGAACTCAACTCAACTCGACTCGAGTCAAGTCAAGTGGCCAAGGACCCAGGACCAAGGACTCAGGACCACGAACCGAGAGGAAGACAGACGCACGACAGGATTAACCCTCCGGGAGCCAAGAAGCACTCTTCGCCACTGAGAGCTTCTTAAAAAAGCGCCAAGGAGTGTTCTTGATTTCGGGCATTTGCTTTGTGGGGATGGCAGGCCAGGAAAGGACTAAAAAAAAGATCTAGTAGTAGCCAACCACACGACTCTTTTCCAAATGTAACCTCGGGTTTAATTTAACCTCTCAGGTTTAAAAAAAAAACCGAATAAAGGTGAACCAAACAATCTTAGAGTTGAATATCTCTGAAAGTCGTTTACTCGCTAAATATCTGCATTCAGCTGATTATACATTTTTGATTACATTTTAGGTTAGCTATTTACATAGGGTCAACCAAAACTTTATTCTCTTGATTCTCTAAATTCTAAATTTTATTAAATGTTTTTAGCTTAACCCTAAAAATCACCATTAAATTGTTCTGATTTCAGATGTTTGTTTCTCCAAAATGTAAAATAAAAATAAAACAAAATCATAACAAATCCTAAGGCGCCTAAAATATCGAAACACCCATAAATAGGCCAATCAATCTGCTGGCCAAGACAAAAGTTATGGGTTCATTAACACTAGACAATAACCAATTTGTAACGGCAACAGCTGGAGCCCCGCAATAAATGTGTGTGTTTTAATTAATGAACATCTGGCCAGAGGAATTTGTCAGAGATTAGGGATTCCCACCGCATCCTCAGGAGTCATTGAGTCAACGGCAGTTAGTTATAAATCTCGGGCAATAAATAACCAGCTAGGATGGCCAAGAAGAAGACAGACAAACAGGGAACTGAGAAGCCTTTGTTGAAAGTCGCGGGTATTTACATATTTTTAATAACCTGCTCGCACAAATCAACTGAGGCGAAGTCTCTGTGTGTGAACTTGACATCAAAATGAACAAAACACGGACTCTCCGGCGAGGTTAAATCATATTTGACAAACAGCAAACAAACAAGGGGGCGAAAGCACACGCATGTGTACATTCCGGAAAATGCTGGGGGAGGGGAAACTCAGGGTGAGGGAAAACTCTGGGGCTGAGATGGGAAAAACAGACAAGGTGTCTGAGCGAGTCGCAACAACGCCTGCCTGCCATATGACACATAAATATGTCCCTCCTGCTTCCCGAAAACAATGTACAAATAAAACAATACAAAATCATCAGCCATCAGGAGCAGGCTGTGAAAAGTCAGGAGGAAAACGCTATGCCAAATCATTCACTTTAAAAATAAATACAAGGGGATTTTAATGACGAGTAGAATAATACAAAATGGGAAATTAAATTCTTAATTTCATTAAAAATAAGTAAAAAAGGTTTTAAATGAGATTTATAACAATACAAAAGGGAAAAGTTTTAACACTACTTTAAAATAAACAAACGAACGAGAAAGTGGCCCTTAATACAAAAACAACTAAATAATATTAGCTACTTATTTATTTAAAATTTAAATAAATGTAGTTTAAGTTAGAATATATTTGTATAAATATATTACTTCATTTAAATCTATAATTAAATGAATTAAATTTTTATAAATTACTTCATTTAAATCCATAATTAAATGAATTACATTTTTATAAATTAAAACAATTGTATTACAATTATTTCTATATAAAGTTGCTTTCTGTGGAAACTTTCCGCCACGAAAAAGTGTGAATGATGCCTGCCTGGGGGGTCGGAAAAGTGGAAAAGCGGAAAAGCTGGGGGTGGGGATGGCAAATCAAAGCGCCAGACAAGTGGGCCGAATCTCCAACATGTTGAACCTGGCGACGACGTCGTCGCGTTGATGATAACGTCGAGACAAAGACGACGACGACTTGACTTTTTTGACTTTGTTATTTATTTTATTTGCCTCCCCCTTTTCTTGTGTTTTTTTGTCAGCGACAAATCGACATTTGCTGCATTAAATGCTGATCAAATACACTTCCGCTCGTTTATCTGTGTAAATATTTGAGCGGGCGGGCTAACAAGTTTACAGCCACCGGCTGGATGGCAATGAAATGACGCAAGAAAAGTTTCCCCCGTTTTTCCATCACAATATAGCATTCCATTTCACAGAAACAGAAACCGAAACAGACACAATTGAATTGTTAAAGAGGGAAATCTGTTGACAGGCAAGGAACGAAATAGCATCCAAGCCAAGGCTTTGAGCCCCAGCAAGTGTCAAAGTGTCCCAGGCTAAATTTAGGCCTCACCCAATGGGCCGGAAATTGAGAGTGACACCGGTGGAAGAATATAAGTACTATCTCACCTCCGCCGGGAACGTGTAGCCCTCGACGCTGTGCTCCGATCCGAACTGGTCGTTCAGGCCGTAGTGCATGTGGATCTCGTGGAAGCGGTAGCGGTACGAGAGCGGTCCGCCGGAGATGTTCACAGGCGTCTGCATGCCATCGTAGTTGGCCACCGTATCGTTGCCGGCCGTGAAGATGACGCTGTGGCCCGTATTAGTGATCAGTCCGGATATCTGGGGGGAGAGATATGTATAGCATAAGTATATTTACTAAAAAATAAATTATGAAAATGTTTAGATTTAAAATAAATGATGGATATCTAAAAACTAAAATGTTTCTGAATTTCTGAAAGAGGGGAAAATATAAATAAAAATATTAAAATTTAAATACTCATAAAATAATAATAATTATAATATTATTAAGACTTCCTTACTCTTAAAAATATATATATATATATCATAGCATATAAATATATCATCCAGTGAAGCAGTAAGTATTGATCGATATTTTTAGGCTTTATAACATTTTAACAAAATATAATATGCCTTAGAAATATATAATTCACAACAAAACTTATTTAACTTTTAAGGAACAATAAAATATATAAATTTATTATCTAAATCTTCTTCAAACTTGGATATTGAATTTTAAAATTTTGCGGGATTTATTAATTAGTGAGAAATTATTTTTATAACAATTTTAAAAATATTTGTTTTCAAATAAACTCAAATAGGCAAAAAAAAAAAATAGAAACTTAGCAAATAAAATACTATAACAAGTGATAACCCTTATAATATCATATAACATAATGTTATACTAAGTATCATATCTGTTCATATATCATTTCCCAAGGGCATGAGGATCCCCAACTTACCCTGTGCTTGTCTATGTGCATGGGCCTCAAGTTGGGATCGAAGAGCAGGCGCTGGGGCTCCAGATTGACCGGCGACTGGCGACGACCCTTGTTGCAGAGCGACCACTCCGGATTGATGAGGCCCCAGAAGGCAGGACCTGAAAGGGGAGCGAAATATAGTGCACCCTATTAGACAGGCCATTCGAATCGATGCCAGTGTCCAGTGGCAGGAAGATTTATGAACCCAGTTCCCTCGCCTCAAACTGTTTCCAAAGTTTCCTTGCCGACCACAATTGTGGGTTGTGTGCTGCAAAAACCTGCCACAAATTGCATAATGGCAGAGGGGCGGTTAAGGGAGGGTCAGGGGTGGGGTTGCAAAAGTCATGGAGGCCAGGGGCCATTACAATATTTGTCTGCATCTGCATAGGTGTTGGCCCTGCGTTGGTTTAGTTTTTTTTTTTTTTTCGGTTGGTTTTGCGTCTCTTTGATTCTGGCCACACAACTAAGCCATCTAACCCGTAACCCCCTGACTTGTTTAATTTCGTGCGGTTTGCTTAGTTTTCCTCGCAATCACAGTCCCACATTTCCCATTTCTAGTGAAAACCCCACTGTAGCTGTAAAATTGCAGCCTTATCTCCCTCTCTCACTCTCTCCTATCTGCTGGCATCTCTTTCACTTGGCTTTGGCCAACTTTATCTGGGCAACCCGGCAGCTTAATTTATGGCAATATGAAATCAAGCTGAGCTGAAACCCAAAAAACAATAGGCCGTCTTTTTTATTGCCAGTTTTTTGCCATTGTTGAGTTTGTATAATCTATGGTCCTTGTATTTCCAGCAATTGAAAGTGTTTCATTGAGGTTTTCGAGTTGAGAATCGAAGGTTTTAGGGTGCTGGTATTTTATAGATTATTATTTCTGAGTTCAGGTTTTTTTTTTGATTTTTATGCTAAGCTGTTCTGGGTGATTTTGGCTACTTCTGGTTTTTTAATTGTGAATTATATTGATATAGTTATTTTCTAATCCACTTGTTAAATATTACACAGGTATTGCCTTCCACTTTCCACCATTTAGTTACATTTCTTAATTGAGTTTATGGTTTTTATTTATATTCCTAGTTTATCCCTTCGTTGGCCATGTTTTTCGCTTGCTTGCTCAAGGATCAACCCATTATTAAAACCTCTTCTGGCCGTTGTTCCATTCGAGTCCGTTCCAGCCACTTGTAATCCCATTTATGGCACACATTCCCCTCTCTCTTTCTCTCTCTTCCATAAAAATGCTTCGCCTGCAGTCGCATTGCGTATACGACACGTAGTCGGGAATAAAGGGGAAAAGCGGAAAAGGGGGGAGGTTAGAGAGGGGAATCCTGGGAATCAACACGTTCGCTGCGAGGCCGCAATCAGGAGCTTCAATCATAGATATGCCACGTACTCGCGTTTAAGCGATTGTTGACCTCAACGACGCCATCGCATTAGCCAAAAAGAAAAGCCAAAAGAAAAGCGGATGAAAAATAATCCCAAGAGTGGGAAAAATAACCAGTGTGGCTGAGATGAAAAACCGGAGATGCCCGGGGGCGTTAAATGGGTTAAGCAATTAACCCGCTGAAGCGTGGCGATCTTATGCTTTAATAGATTAAGTAGTTTGAATGTGAAAAGGTTGCAAGACTAGTAACTAATAATTTACATTATTTTAAAGGCCTATTTTTAGCTAGATTTTAATTAGAAATATTTAAGATGTAATGTGTAATTGATCTAAGCTAAATATTTTTTAAATTAAATATTAAATACCATTTTTTATGATAACAAAGCTTGTCTTTATCATATCCAACTAACTGAAGAATATGGAATTGGATATTATTGAATTCAAAGACATAAATAAATGGAATTTAATAATTTGATTTACAAAACATTTACAAAAAAACTATTAAAAAAATTAAATTTAAATTCCTAGTTATTTAAAGAGGATTTTATGGATATAAATTCGACTATAAAACTCTTGATTATAAATAATTATGTGCTTATTAAATCCATTTAAACAGGGAGCTTTTCAAGGATTCCAAACTCGTGTCACGTGCTCATCGCCACTGCATTTTGCGGCGGGGGAAAAGTAGGAGAATCGGCGGCTACGAGTTTGAGTTGAGGTCTTCAGATAACGCCGAACCGAACTGAACCGAACCGAGGAGTAGTAGGATGTTGCAGTCTCGAGTCTCGAGTCTATTAAATTGCGGTCTGGAGTCGAGTCAATGAGGCAATTGCCAAACGATTTTAGCAGCCATTAACAACATTAGTGGCTTGGCTGACTGGCTGTTGGTGTGGATGTTGCCTCGCTGGGTTGATGGTTGGATTTTCCCCCTTTTTTTTTTTTTTGAAGGCGAAAGGCGGTGGCATGCAGCACACGCCCCGTTTGATTCCGTTTGGCCGCTTTTACTTGGCTCGTTGGGAGTGCAAATCACGTTAAACAAGTGGCACGTTGCAGCTGCAACTGCAGCTGAGGCTAAGCCGTCTTTTTCGGGGCAACCTCTTTGGCATTTCACCCCCTTTTAGCCACCCCACACACTCAGTGGCTCAGTGGCGCCCCCTGACGGGGGATTTCGGAGTCCTGCATGCAATGCTTATGTAAATTTATTTATGCCAAAAGAGACACAAAGTTCGCCTCGGATTTCGGTTGCAATTTGTTGACAACACGTGTTACAAGATACCCCTGTTGCCAGGCTTTTACACGGCGAGAAAAGCTATTAGGTTAAGCTATCAAAATATCAAAATGCATACATGGAAAACCTAAACTACAATAAACCTTGAAATAGTTTTTAAAATATTTTTTTTACCTTTAACAAATTTCCCTTAAAGTAAAAATATTTTAATTAATATCTTGTCTAACAGAAAATCCATAAATAAATTAATCTCAGCCTTAAAGCAATGAGAAATATTATTTCCCTGAAACTCATTGCATTTCCCCCCAATCTCCTGCAGAATTTCGGCTTTCTGCACTTTAAACTTGATTCTTCTTCTTATTTTCCCTGTTCGCCAAAATCCAATTCAAAATTCAAAGCACTTGAACTTATTTATGCATTTGTCTTGTGCAAATGGCGTCGCCGTTGTGTCTCTAATAAGATTAAGAAAGATGCTTCCACTGCTTTCTAGTAAGAGAGGGAGAAAGAGAGGGGATGAGAGAAAGAGAGAGAGACGGAGCAACGCTTATCGGCTGTCTGCTGTCCTGTCTGGACATAATCTCCACGGACCTTTGCCCCGATTTTGCCGCCAGTTGAAGTGACACATGGCGAACTGTTCTCCATTTCTCCAAAGGCGATGGCATTTCGGGTCTCCATTCCCCGTCTCTTTCTACTGCTTATATACCCCTCTCTCTCGCTCTCTTTCGCCGTCTGGGCCTCTGCTTATCACGTTTCAACGCCAGACAATGGTGCAAAAAAGGAAAGTTCGCTTTCCTCCGCTGGGCTCTTTGAATACTTTGTCCGCCTTTCCATTTGACAGCTGCAAATCGGCTTCGTCTCCGCTTTTCCACCTCCCATTTTTCCCCCATTTTCCCCCCTTTTCCGCCCTCCCAGCCATTTTCCTTTTGGCTCTTTTTACATGCATTTCACGCGTGCAGCTTCAGTCGCTGAGAAAATCGTTTTACACCGGCAGCAACGACACAAGAATCGCCCTGGCTTTTCCGCGACCCCCGGAAAAGCAGGTGGAAAAGCATCACCCATTTTCCCTTCAACTTTGTTGCTGTAGCGACGCGTGCTGCTCGTTGGCTTGGCTCAAATTTTACTTTCCGCTTCCGTCCGTGGTTATTGTTGAGCTTTGATTAAAATTTACTTTGTTGTTGGTATTTATGAAAACTTCAACGGATGGGCAAAGAGGGGCGGGGCGGGGCGGGGCGGGGGAAAAGCTTACCGGAGATGCCATCGTATGTCCACCAATCCTCCCAGCTGACGGCGAGCAGAACTGCAAAGAGAAAGCGGAAAGGGAAAAGTGCATCAGATTTCGATTCTCGAGTTGATGAATATAAGCCGCGAACATGTCAAAGATCTGATTGGGTCAATATATGTATATGCCCAGTTTAAATACCTTATAATGTTTCTGAGGGCGGGGCTTAAATGTGCCTGCCAAATACGCGGGATATTGCAAGGGATTTCACATTTTAATGGCTTGCAAACAGTCATCCTTGTCTTTGCAATTTCACTTGTTTAAAATGGTAATACGTATTTCCATTTTTATTTTATAACTTTTCAAAGACAAATGTAATATTTATATAATTTTTTTTACAAATTTAGTTATATGGGAATATTTTAATAAAAAAATAGATATTTTAGTTTAATTAATATAGTAGTTGAATATTTATGAACTAAAACGTTTATACAGTTTTTAAACCCTTTAAATGCCAAAAATATAACTTTTATCATATAATTTTTAATAGACTTATTTTTGTATCGTAATAATTATTATTATTGCTTTTATTTATAAGTTAAATAACTTTTAAAAATATTTAAGTTATTTGTTAAATTTGTAAGTATCTACTAAAATATTTTAAAATATTTTCCCTCAAAATGAATCCAAATAATTAATATAAACACCACAAATAACCTATTTATTTGTCTTGCTACATAAAACAGCAGTTCGGTTCTCCATTAATGATAGGGCATCAACTCGTTTTGACTCGACTTCTGACTTTTTTCGGCAGGTCCTTCGTGTCCTGCACTTTGTGAAAATGATTTTTGCTTACTTGCCTTTTAATTTTTTCGTGTTCGAGTTGGTTTTTCGCTTTTTTGTTCGCCGCTTCGTTGGCTCGTTTTTGTTTTTCAGTTTTTTGTTTTGCGGCTGCTTTGCTCTTTTTGCTCGCCCCGTAAATTCACTTCCGTCACTTGTTAACTTTAACATTCATCGACACTTTTTGCCTTTTGGCCCTTTTTTTGCACCTCACTTTTTGCTGGCTCGGCTCGGCTTGGCTTGGCTTGCGAATGCAGCTGAAGCACTTTGTTATTTTGACAGCCGACAAAAAGCGGGCCAATGCCTTTTGGCCAGAAGCAACCGCCCTCTCCTTACACCCCCTCTTTGGACCAGCAACCTGCACTCTTTCTTTCCTTCCGCGACTCGAATCAAAGTCAAGAAATGTTGAGTCATTAAAACGCGTTACCAACCCCTTGTCACCCCCATCCCATTCCATGGGGCTCCCCACAAAGTGCAGTGCGAAATGCACTGTAGTTTCCGGCAAGGAGTTCCACGTTCGCGGGGAGAAACCCCAACGAACTCGAGTTCCACTCCAGATATTCTTGTGAAACTTTCTGAGGGGTGTTATTAGGTAAAAAGAGGTAGATTTACTAACGAATCGCTGGGAAGGTTTATATTTTTTGGGCAGAAAAGGGTATATTTACCTATAATCAAAAGTAAAGGAAAATAATATTTATATATTATTCATACAAATAAAAATATTTATTAAGTAGAAAAAAAAACATTAATTTATTATACCTATTTAAAAAAATTTAAATACAAATTTCTCTTGCTAATTCTTTCTATACAACTATTTCGCCAAGCTAAACTTTGGGTCAAAACAACCCAGAGTTCTCTGCCTTTTTTCTACCCCTTTGAAATATTTTGTAAAAAGCGCAAAAAGCCAGGACTAAAAAAACCTTGAAAATTTTGCGACGAGGGAGGGGCGAAAAGTAAAAGGCAACGACAAGAGCAACATCAACGAGAGTAATAACAATAATAATAATAATAATGCAAAGTCATGGGCAATGATTGAAATTAATGGATTTCTAAATGCTCAGCGTCATTGCAGTCCCCTGGCCTCTTACCCTTTTACAGTTCTTAACCCTTTGGCAACTGAAAAGAGGGATTCGAGGAAAATGGGGGAGTTAACCCGCTGTCGACAAATTGTGGCTTTGGCTGAATGTTGCGCACTGCAATTCATAAAATCTCTTTGTGATTTGTAATTTGTGAGGCGCACTTGAAGATTTCTTTCATTTTAATGCAGCCATGACAAAGAAAACAGCCTAAACTACCAACAAAAAGAAAACAGCCTAAACTACCAACAAAATATTTAATTCTCTAACATGATTTACTGTGATTTTGGCACTGAAGATAATAATAATAATAAATATTATAAAACCCCCAGAACCAAACACTAAGTTTATTTAAACACCCAATCCCCCAAGTCTCCGATTTCCCATTAAGCTCTAGGTGTTTTTATTCTCTCAAATTTACACACTTTACCAAAAGTTTTTAAGCTTTGTTTTTTTTTTTGGGAGGAGGGGTAGAAAAAAATAACATCTCGAATAATTTCTATTCAATTCGCTGGCTCTCCCACTCTCCTTTGGGTTTGTTTGTTCATTGAATTCTATTTATAAATTTTCACCTGGCAGCACGCCCCCCTCCCTCCCCTCCTTCCACACCTGAGATCCTTCTGTTGGCTTCTTCTTGGCCTTCCTCCATTCCTCCTTGGTCTCGCATTCGCAATCATAAAAGGCAACAAAATGTTGAACAAATTTTTATGGCTGCACAAAGCAACAGAGAGTGACAAAGCGAGAGAGCAGGGCAAAAAGTCACCAGTTCGGGATACACCGAGAGAAAAATCGAATTCGAATTTAAAGTTGGAAATATATCGAATAAAAATATTATGGTCTTAACCAATATAGAGTCTTTCCTTTAAAAACGGTAAGAAGCATAAATCACACAGAACAGCTTGACATAAAATTCTAAAAAAAAAACAGAAGTTCGGAAATAATTTATTTATTAAATATGTAGTTTTAAAGAAACCAAGTTTAGGTCTGGAAGATTTTTAAAAAGTAATAAACCCTTAATTTAAATTTATTTCATCTGATTAATTAATTAACCAATTTATAAATTCCTCAAATAAATTCGAGATTAAATTCATTAATCGCCCATACTTTTCTCTCAGTGCATGCAATGCCATGGCAGCACAGCCGTCTGAGCTTCCCCGCCCATCCCCTCGCCTTTCGTTTTTGGCTTGTGGTCGTCGCTTTTGTGGCTGCCTCGCATTTTCCACCCCGCCTGAATTTTCTCTCTCTGTTTTCGCCGTCGCGCCTTTTAGTATTAATTACAAATGAAATTTTCTTATCATTTCTGTTGCCGTTGACAACTTTCTGTCTGCCGACCCGTCTGGGTCACCACCCCACATCCCCCGCTTTCACCAGGGACCTCCTCTAGTTTAGGGCCAATAAGCAAAAATAGTTGCTGCTAATTGTTGTTTGCCGTTTATGGTTATGGCCAATGCGTGCTAATTGTCACCAGCCATCTCTTCTTGGGGCTTCCTTTTTCGAGGGTTTTCAATTTCAGCCGAGTTTCGATGCTGAGTTTTATTTTGTATTGTATTTCCTGTGCAGGAAATTAATGGCGACACTTTAGTTGCGCTCAATATTGTTTGGCCCGCCTGTCAGTTGGGTTTCTTCTTTTTTTTTCTGATACTCTTGACGGGGGAAATTGATAAAAAAATACTTCAACTTGAATATTTGTTATTTTAAAAAAATTGTCCTTAAGCAAATTAATCAACCAGTTAATTTATAATACATTTTAAAATATTTGTACCACGTAAAATTTTGAAGTGATTATTTTTTGAATTTAAAAATAATAATATAATTATGTTGGAATGTCAAAATATGTGTCTAAAATGCAATGAATAAAGGATAGTCGTCTTCTTTTATAAATTCATATTACTTTTAGGTAAAACATATATTGTTGAATACCTTTAGACACCTATTTTGATATTTCCCAGTGATTTCAAGAACCCAGGTATTAAACAGTTGTTTTAAATATAAATGTAATATATACGATTTAATTTTAACAATTTTTAAAATATGGCTGGCAACTAAAGAGCATTTAACACTTCGATCTATGCAATATATCCCTATTTTCCGGTTCTTCATTTCGTATTTTCTTTGCTTTGTGTTGCGTTCGCTTTTCGTTGGGTTCGCTGCTTGCTTTTTTGCCATTTGCTATTTGTTTGCTGTCATCGTAGTCGCTTGTCTATTTAAAAAGCACGTAAACATGGCCGACTTCTGGCGCGCCCAAATCAACAACAACAATAGGGAAAACAACAAGAACAATACTGGCAGGAAAACAGGGGTGGGAGGGGGGTGGCGTAATAGGAGAGAGGGGAAAAAACCAAAAAAAAAAATAGGGGAAAAAAGGATTGACGTGCGCATTTTAGTCACGCTGTCGCGGGTTTTTTGCCTTTTTGCCATTTTAGCTGATTGTTTTTGTTGTTGGCAAGAGGAGTAGTATTTGTAGTTGTGAGCAAAAGGATATATACACGACATGTGTGAGGGACACGAGAATATCAGGACATCGAGAGACATCGGGCTTCAGTTTCAGAGTTTTGTGCCCGCGGGTAACTTAATATTTTGTTGATGTTTGCCCAACTTGATTATATCTATCACTATCATAATATGGCACACATACACACACACCCCCCGCCAAGTTGCTAGCACACACACACACGCCCACACTTTTTGAGACATATGCAAATTTCTCTCTGCCGCCGAAGTGTCAACACAAAAGATTGGACCTAACACAAAAGGATATGTTCTCCAAAACTGAATTATATGACGAGTGATACAATATAATGAAAATGTGCGAGGTTCTTGTAAATTATCCCCATGTTTACATGGGGCCTGTGATTCATGTGGATAATTTATTCGCCAGCCTTTTTTGAGATTGTTGAAAGATTAGGAATTTACAACGTATTTATATGTACATTTATTTACTTGGTAAGACTTGGCAAAATATACATTACGTATACGCCTCGTCTAATTTATGTTAATTATATTATTATTAGAAAATCAATACAAAATAATATAAAATATCTGTAAGTAGATTTATATATTATTTATATATTCATATTTACATTTATTTACTTGAAGAGTCTTTGCAAAATTTAAATTACGTATACGTATATATTTCTGTTGTTAAAAAGTTCGTTGACTTAT